CCAGCTGTGGGCTTGGCGAGGCCACAGCGTGCAGGAGGCCCCTTCCCAGCACAGGCATGTGTGATGCGCAGCCACAGCCAGGGGCGAGCGGGGGACGTGCATGAAGGCCGTGGAGGAACTGGTGGAAGATGGACGGCCCCCCGCCTCCCACAGCACCCAGATCCGCCACCTGCCCCTCCTCTGCTGGCTCCCTGGAGGCCCATCCATCCTTCTGCGTCCCTGCACCGATTCAGAAGGCTGCCAACGGGCACACCTCCCTATTCAGCTGCAGTCTACCTGTGGGAATGGGATGCCGGAGGGAAGTCGGGGAGGGCGAGCGCCTCCATCGCCCCCTCGTACGGATGTGCTCCCGGGGGCCTGTCCCCAGGCCGGGGACCCAGTGCTGCCGCCGGCCCGACACGGAGGCCTTGCCGAAGCGGCAGAGCTGCTCTTGCGCCCACCGCTTGGTCGAGCGTCCGACGCTACGGTGGCGGCAGAGAGGAGAAAGCTGCCCTTCGACACCCTTTCTGCCTCCCTCGTGTTCGGCGCAGGTCCATCCGGGGGCAGGAGGCCCCTCGCTCCGCAGGCCCCGTGGCCCCTGCCCTCACCCCCTCTCCCTGCCCCTCTGCCGGCCTGTGGCTTCACCCGCCTGCCACTCTGCAAGCGGGAGGGCGGCCAGCGGGTCCCAGCTCATCTGACGGCTCCCAAGGGGGGCAGGCCAGCCGCATTCCTCAGCTGCAGAGGTCACACGCCCCCCCCCCCAACGCCTGTCCAAACACCCTGCCTGCGCAGCGTTTTCCTGATGCCTGGAAAGCCCAAGGCCGCAGCCCCCCTTCCGCCCGGCACAGCAGCTGTTCTAGCCTGGCACCTCCCTGCTGCGTTCAAAGTGTTCTGCACGTGCCCCCAGGTGCCGCCCCATCTGCTCTCCTGCACCCGAAGATGCAGCCGCTGCATGACAGGCAAGTGGGAACGGGGCGTTTGGGGATCGGGTGTCCCACCGCACGTGCAAACCCGCCCGATGGAGGAAATCCGCCTCTCGGAGCTCTCCCGTGTGTGTGCGAGGGAGCGTCCCACCCAGGGGAAAGGGGGGAACAGAGCTCTTACCTAGGTGTTCCTGAGCAGAGCGGGGTATCAGCTGAACCCAGAGGGCAAGCAGCCCCGCAAGGAGGAGCCGGGCCCCGGGCTGCATGATGAGGCCGGCGTGAGTCCGCGGGCCGGCTCCGGGCCCCCTGCTTATATCCCAGCCAGCAGGCCCCGCAGGGACTCTCAGGAGCAGCAGGTTCAGGAAGCGACCAAGTGCTGGGGGCGGGGCGGGGTTTTGCAACGAACCCCCGCAGAAGAGCTGCCGGGCCAGTGCCCACGGCAGGCCATTCCTGCTCCGCTCGGGTCAAAGGGCAACCATCCGGACAGGCAACTGAACACTGCTGGCTCCAGGACGGGGCAGGAGGGTCTGGGGCTGAAGCCGCCCGTGGAGGTGGCTGGAGACCGTGGCTCGACGCAGCATGGCCGACGCCAAGGCGGAGCCAGGAGACAAGTGAGGCCAGGTGCCAGCCAGGCCCAGCAGGTCCAGAGGCAAGCGGGGGGGGGGAAGCAGGCGTGGGCCAGGCGTGCGCTGGGACCAGAAGCGGGCAGGAGTCAAGGCCTGGCTGGACGCGGGATCAGACCACAGAGCAGCCACGGTGCCGCCGTGGCCACGCCTAGGCGGCCCTTCTTGGGGCCCTCCAGAGCCCTGGCTGTGCTGCACGGCTGCGCAGGCCCCGATCCCTGCGTGGGCCTCCAGACATGCCCCTGGTCCTGCAGGCCTGGCTGGAGGAGCTGCATCCACGGGCCAGATCCTGAAGCCTGCCCGGCGTCTGTCATGGAGGCTCCTTGGCCTCTGGGCAGCCTGGCTGCCATGCCGTGGGCACAGCCGTCCGATCCTGCAAGAAATGGGCCATGTATATTTGAAAGGCAAGCCAGCCACGCTTATTAAGAGCACGGCAGGCAAGGCAAAGCTGTTGCTGCCCCTGAGCACAGGCTGCACTCCAGGGGGAACCCTGGTCAGCCACGCAGCCGTGCCTCTATACTCACAGACACAGAGCGAGTCAGAAGGGGCCTCCGGGCCATCTAGTCTGACCCCCGGCTCCAGCCGGCTCTGCTCACGGCGTGCCCACCATGTGGACGTCCAGCCTGTCCTTGAGCACCCGCACCGCTGGCGCCTCAACCGCCTCCGTGGAAGCCCCTTCCACACCCTCGGCGTCCCGACTGAAGGGGACCGTGGCAACAGCCGGCCCTGCTCTGGAGATCCTCCCGGTGCCGTGCGCTGCTCGCACTTCGTCCCGAGTGCCCTGGCGAGGGTCGCCCTGAAGCCCCGTCCCTCGCCCGCCGGAACCCGTGTCCCGCCGGCTCCCACAGCGCTGCAGCGTTTCCACGGGGCAGCTCCTTGGCCACGCGCGAGCAACGAGGCGAGGGGCAGGCGGATTCCTCTCGCGCGCCCCACGCGCGGGTGGGGACGCCTCGGCCCCCGCCAGGCCCGGCTGCCCCGCACGGAGCGCCGCCCCGCCGCCCCGGGGAAGCGCCGCCCGCCCTTGGGGAAGGTGGGGGGCGACCCTGCGAGCCCCGCCCGCGCCCGCGCCGGCGGGGGGGGCGGCGCTCTCCCCTCTGCCGCCCCGCGCCCCTCCCCGCCGCAGAGGCTGCGCCCGGCGGCCCGCGCTTCCCTGCGCGGCGCCTGCGGAGCGTCGTCCGCGGCCGTCCGGCGGCTGCTGCGCTGGCGCCCCGTGGGAGCCTCTGCAGGGGGGCGGGCGGCGGGACGGACCCCCGGCCGCGCGCGGGGCCACCGGGCGAGCGCCCGGTCCGTCTGGCACCCCTGCGCTTCGGGCACGTGTGCTCGTCCTGGGCCTGAGCGTGTTCACACGTGCTTTGCTCTGCGGTATATGGGTCTGCGCATGTGCGTGGGGTCTAAGCCTTGCGTGTGTGCAGGTCTGCAGTTACAGTGTCCGTGCGTGCGTGTGTATGTGTGCGTGCATGCAAGTCTCAGAGGCCGCTTTCCGTGTGGCTCTGAGAGCCTCACACCGTATTCCTTGCCTCCATCGTGGTTCTAGCCGCGTCGTGGTTGGTGCTGTCGGCCCGCGTGGCTTGGGCTGGCTGCTCAAGAGTGACTGGCGGCTGGTGGGGGGTCCTCCCGGCCGGACGCAGCACGAGCCTTCCTCCGCGCAGGGAGGGCCGTGGCTCCGTGGGGGGCTGCGGCTCAGGCCTGCCCAAGTCCCTGGAGGGCCCTTGCTGCTGCCAGCCAGAGCCCAGCCAATGGGGCTGGACGGACCGAGGCGCGCCCTCGAGGCCAAGCAGCCCCCCGCGTGCGCAAGGCTCGGAGCCGGTCTGCGCAGCGTCCCAGACCTCCTCCTCTAGGGGAGCATTTCATTCCTCTAACAAGCCCCCCCCCCCACAAGAGTGAAATCTGCCCTTCGCCGCTGCAGCCCTTTCCTCCCTACACCGGGAGAGCTGAGTCGGAGCCCCCATCGGTGCGGGGGGGGGGGCACAAAGTACACACGGAGCAGCCAGTCAGTGGACAGAAGCCTTTATTGCGGGGGGGGGGCGAGGGGAGGAAGCGAGGTGGGATGAGGAGCCGGGGGGCAGCTGGCGGGGGCCCTGGACCACGTGGGGGCCAGGCATGGGCAGACGTGCGGATCGCTCAAAACTGGGTCCCGGGGAAGTCTCTTCGTACCTGCCCAGGGCCTGTGGGGAAGAAAAGAGGGTCGGTCAAGTTGTGGGTCCCACAGAGGGGCAGGGGGAGGCAAGCAGGTGCTCAGGTGAGTGCCCCATCGCAGTGGTAGGCGGGGGGCTAGCCGGCCAGACCTTCTGCTCCACGCAGCATGGTTGTGTCGGGGCGAGATTGTGGCTCCGGGCCTTCCGAGATCCGGGTTCAAGTCCCCACTCGGCCGTGAAGCTCACTGGGGACCGTGGGCCCATCGTGGCCTGTCAGCCTAAGCCACCTCCCAGGGTTGTTGTGAGGACAAAATGAGCGGGAGCAGGACTGCAAGAACCCGCTTGGGCTCCTCGCAGGAAAGAGGCCGGCTATGAATATAATACAAAAAATGAAGCACAACTTAAATCGTATTTGGCCCTCTGCTTCTGTTAGTCACCCAAAGCAAAGGTGGCGAGAACCAGGTCAGCATCTGAGCGCAAAGCAGAGCAAAGCTGGGAAGGACCACGGACAGAAGCACGGTGCCACGGAGCAACGGGCGCCGCACCCCCGTGGAATCTAACGTCCACGTCAGGAGCAGGCTGGCCTTGCTGAACTCAGTGGGCCGTGGCCCCGCAGAACGGTGGATGGGAACCGGAGCGGTTCCTCGGGGGACATGCCGCAGGCGGTTTCTGCAGCAAAACGAAAGCAAAGGCCGGGTGGATGACGGAAGCAGCAGCGAAGGGACCGGGCCCACGAAGGGTCCTTCCAGGGGTGTCATGTAGGAAGGGCGCCACGAACTGGTGCAAAGGACCAGGAGGGGAAGCAAAAGAGGCCACGTGGAGGCCTGTTCCAGAGGGTCCCAGAAATCCAAGGGAAACTCAAAGCTGGGTGAGGCCCGTTGAACGAGTTACAGTGGGGCCCGCTATCTGACCGGGGAAAACGAAGGAAGGCGGAAGCGATAGATGGAAGAACTGCACGGGGGGGGGGGGGGGGGGGGGGCGGGGGGGCAGCAGCCTCCTCTGCAGAGGAATCCTGTGAGGAAGAACCTGCAAGGTTGGAGCTGCTCTGGAAGCCCCCAAAGAAGGGAGGCGCCGTGGTGGGTAGGATCCCAGCCATGGGCAAAGGCAGTAAGATGCCAGTGGATGCCAAGGCCATTCCACGGCTGCCCAGAGAGGGAGAGACACGAGCTTCCTCCTTCCCTGCCAGGTGGGGAGAGCTGTGCCCCCCTGGGCGGCCCCCAAGCGTACCCCTGCCTCGAGAGCCCCTCATTTCACGGCAGACGGAGCAGTACAGTCGGGCTCACGGCAGGGCAGGGCAGGGCAGGGCAGGGCAGGGCATCCGCCCCACCGTCTGGCTTACCTTAGATGGGGTCGTAGCAGGAGACGTGGCACCCGTAAGGGCAGCACTTCTGGGGCCCGGGGCACTCCCAGTCGCTGTGGCACCTCACGTCGCACAGCCTGTCCGCGCCTGGCCAGGGCGAGGGGCAGGTCCCGGGCTTCTCTGCAGTGGAACAAGGCACATGCGTGTCCGGATGGGGACGTGGGGGGAGAGGCGGCGCGCCTGGCGGCTGGCCCTGGCCTCCGTGCGGACGCACTCAGCCTCCTGCTGGCATCTTGCCGAGGGCACGTCCTCTTTTCGTGGACCAGCCCCCTGCTCGCTCAGCTGCGCACGGATTGGGCAAATCCATGGAGAAGGCGGCTCTGCATGGTGGACGCTGCCCCCGTTTCAGAGGCAGTGTGCCACTGGACTCCCATTGCTGATGCACCCGGGAAGGGGATCTGAGGAACTGAGGCCTAGCCGAGGTGAGATATGAAATTCTCAGCCTTACTGGCAATGCATCCCAGGGTCCAGATGCATCCGACCCAGAGTTCCCAAGGAACGCAAGCGTGCAACGGCCAGCCTTCTTGCAAAACCATGTAGCACGTCGCTAAGACCAGCCTTGGGACCAGAGGAAGGAGAAATGCCGGTAAACGCCCATGTTTAAAGGGGACATGAGGGGATCTGGGAATTTACTTAACATCAGTTAAGTACGTTAAATTACTTAACCAGTCAACATCTCTTCTGGGTGAGCTGCCTGAGAGCATTATTAAAGACAGACTCGGAAGCATGCAGAGGGACAAGCCTGGCTGTCAAAAGAGCCAGCATGGCTTCTGCCAAGGAAGGCTGCACCTCATTAACCCATTAGAGTGCTTGAGAGTGCCAGCAGGCACCTGGCACGGGGATCCAGTAGGCACTGCTGACTTGGACTTCCAAAAGGCTTCCGACAAAGTCTCTCCGAAGGCTCCACGGCAAACTGAGCAGTCATGGAATAAAGCTGGAGGGGGACTGCTCTGCAGGATCAGGAGCAAGCCAACCTCCCCTGCCTGGCCACAGCCTGGCCACAGCAGGATCCCCGAGCAGGAACCTGGGGGAGGGCGGGAACGGGGAAAGCAGGCTCTGGCTCGGCAGTTCCCACCTGAGCGGGAAGAGGCCTCGGAGGGCCGTGTGCTCCGGCCAGGCCAGCTGCTGGCCGGAGGGGAAGCAGCCCGGCTCACTGGCTCCTGGGACTCAGATCGGCTTCCCGGGCCGGGGCGCAGGTCCTTCCTCTCCGCGGACTTTCCGTCTTGTCTTGCCCACTTACCCACGCAGGTCTGCCGACATTCCTTTAACGTCTTGAAATTGTTTTTGTTCCCGTCACAGCCACCGTAAATGAACCTCTCGCACTTCTTGGACGCTGAGTTGTAGAAGTAACGGGGAAAGTACCCATAGCACAGTCCAGGGTCAGAAGGGAGATAGCAAAGGTCTGTGGGAAAGAGTCAACAGGGTTGGTGATGGGCCCTGAGCCAGCTCCCTCCTCAGGTGGGCAGTCCGGCCCATGGTGCGTGAACCCGTCCCTCCCGCTTGCTTGGTGCCATCCCACTCCAGTTCCCCGCGACCCCTGAGCTCCGGTCTGCGCTCTTGGAGGCATGGCTGCAAATGGAACCCCCCTGCACTGGCAGGCCCCACAGCCGTGGAGACAAACCGCGTGGCTGAGAGGCAGAGGGGCCCTGCCGTGCTCGGCGCACCGGACTGCGCACGAGTGCCTTCGCTGGCCCACCCATGCGACATCAGGCGGGTGCGCCCTGGAAGTGAGATGTCCAGCGCTGGCGGCTCGTTTTGGTATTGACTGATTGTCAGCGACCTTGACCACTTCACTGCTCAGCCCTAATCCCGTGTCTTTTCAGAATAGGCCGAAAGCCTTGGCCCTAATACTGACGGAATTCCTCAAGGCATGCGCTCCCCAGAGAGGTCCGCCTGGCCCTACCTTTATCTGTTTTTCGGTGTCAGGTCAAGACCTTTTTAGTTAACCAATATTTTAATGATAAAAAATTTTAATTATCAATTAATTATTTAATGTAACTTATTTAATAATTAATTTTATATATTTCAGTCATGGGATATCTAATTCATTATTGATAGAGAGGTTATTGCTTATTGTTGTATTTATAGATTGTCGTGAGCTGTCCAGAGGCAGTAGTGCTTGGACGGCCTACAAAAATCCTAAATAAAATAAATAAGAAATAGAATAATGCAGAGCCCTGTGGGGGCGCCACTGGTGGCCTCCCTCCACCGGGGAAAGAGCCACTGATTCCCACCCTCGGTCTTCTGACCTTCAACAAGTTAGTGACCCTTAGCAGGAGTTCCCCCCTTTTATTCCATGATTACTTCGCTTGATGTGGGACTTTGTCCAAAGCCTTTTGGTACAGGAATGAAGTATCTTGGTGGGAAGGTCAGCAATTTCATGTTTGAGTTCCTTGATAACTCTGCACGACTCTGGTGCGCCCACAGCTGGAGTATTGTGTCCAGTTCTGGGCCCCTCATTACAAGAGGGATATAGCCAGGTTGGAGTCAGTGCAGCGAAGGGCCACAAGGTTGGTGGCCAGTTTGCAGGGGATGCCGTATGAGGTGAGACTAAGGGAACTGGGCCTCTTCAGCCTGGAGAAGAGAAGACTCGGAGGGGATCTGTTGGCGACACACAGGTATGTGAGGGGGTGTCACATGGAGGTGGGTAGAGGCCTGTTCTCCCCTGCAGAGGAAGGCAGGATGCGCTCCAATGGAGCAAAGCTCAGGGAACCCAGGCTCCGTTTGGATGCCAGGAAGCACTTCCTGACAGTCTGGACCCTGAGGGTGTGGAATGGGCTTCCCCGGGAGGTGGTAGAGGCCCCATCAGTGAGGGTCAGGCCACCCTCCAGTCCTCTGGAACTTCACCCGTTCTCCACAAGGCCTCAAAATGGAGGCCGGGGGCGTGAGAGAATCCCTGCCAGCTCTCTAAGTCCTCTCGGGTGTAACCCGTCAGGGCCTGGCGCCTTTGTAATGTCCAATGCCCTGAGCAGGCCCTCGACGTCTAGGGGGATGACTCTAATCTGTGCCCCAAAATGTATACCAATTATAAGGCAGTGATTTGCCAAATCCATTTTTTCCCCTATAACCACTGTAAGATATTTTTAAAAAGTAATTTTAGAACTGATTTTCACTGATAGCGAAATATCAGGAGGGAAGCTGGCTGGAGCTGGGGTCAGACTAGATGGCCCAGGAGGACCCTTCTGACTCTCTGCTTCTATGTTTCTAGGATGCATACCACCTGGACCGAGTGACTTGCTGACATTCAGTTTGCCAGCGAGGAAGAGAATTCAATCTTTTGTCGCTGCTATCTGCTCCACTTCCTCCTCCTCTCTTCCAGAATGCATGAGCTCAAGCTGAGGGTCCTAGTCTGCCTCCTCAGCCGTGAAGACGGATGGGAAGAATTTACTCCGCTTCTCCGCACTCTCCTTGATCCCCATTAGTAATCTGTTAATTCCATTTTCGTCCAGTGGCCCAACTGCTTCCTAAGTAGCTTTCCTTATTGTCCACATCTGAATGCTTGGCCTCGACACCGTCTGTGCTGTGCCCCGCAAACCGTCTCCCTGCTTCCCTGACGGTCTCCCTGCTTGCGCCTCCACGAGGCAAGCCTGTGGCCCCGCCTGCTCTTCTCATCTAGCCAAGACTCCCAACTTTGGCAGGGGCGTTCTCCTCCCCGAGAGCTTCCTTGACTCTTTTCCCAGGTGTCTTGTGCACATCATCTGTGCCTCTGTTACACTGTTCTGCGAAAGCAGCAGCATTAAACGGGGGCTTTCTTCTGGAGACACCTCCCCTGTCCCACTGCAGCCAGGTCCTCCTCACACCTGGCGGGGCACAGGCCTGGGCGGGGGGTGCAGCACTGCGGCTTGCTGTGAGGGGGGCATGCTGCTCTCCTGTGGGCCTCCCCCCACTGTCTTCTTGCTGCAGCAGGGGCCTCAGCAGCGCAGGGCAAAAACTTGGCAGCTTGAGCTTGGGGGTTGCGGGGACTTGTGGGAGGGCTGCCCCAGATCGCCCTGCGCTTGCCCTCTTCGCAGTTCCCCCCGGGGCCACGCATGGCTCCCTGGCGGCCGGCTCCGGCCCCGCTTCCTCGTGCAGCCTGGGCCAAGGGGGCCTGGGGGGAGCCCGGGGCAGGCGGGAGGGGCGTCCCCAGGAGGCGGTCGGAAGGGGCTCTTACCGGGAGGGTTCTGGCCAGAGACGGGTGCCAGCGTGGCCAAGAGGGCCACGAGGGCCACAGCGGGGAGGAGGCCGCCGGTCCGCATGGCGTGGCAAGCTTGCAGGGCCGTCCCCACCCAGGCCGCCTGCTCCTTATATCCCTGCAGGGGAGTCGCCGGAGGTTTCGGGGCAGAGGGACACGGAAGCAGGCCGTGGCGGGGGGAGCGGGTTGAGGGATGTGGCAACCAGCTGGCACGAGAGCCGCAGGCCACTGACCTTTCTGCCGGTATTTCCAGATTGCAGGTGGCCAAGCTCCTGCTGGGAGAGTGTCCGCCCAGCAGGCCCGGCCTCAGGACGGCCGGCTTCCAGGCTTGGGCAAGCCCGGCCCGGGGCAGAGCACCGTGGGGGTGGCCAGATCCGGAGCCATTGGGACCGTCCACCCTGCTCTTGGCTGACTGTCCCAGCCCCAGCCCCAGCCCAGCGCTGCAGGAGCAGAGGGGGGCTGCGAAGGGCAGGGCCTCTGTGGGGGGGGGGGGGGGTGGCCTCACCAGAACCACAGAATGTGCAAGGTCTGTGTTTTTTGGGGACTCGTCCGTGATGTTCCGCGGTCTGGGAGTTTTGTCCAACAATGAAACACTTTCAGGGCCGAGTGAGTCCCCGAAACGGAACCGTGTGACGTCTGCCAGTGTGGGGCTGATTTTGGCGCGTCCTGTCCAAGGGCAAACCAAGGAGGTATGTGAGAGGGGATGCCCGCTGAGGACGCGAGATGCTGCCCGAGTCGCTCTGGCCCCAGTGCCAGATTTACTCTCGTGTTGCAGCTGCCTGGAACCGGCGTCCAGCCCCAGCACTGAAGTGACCCTCCTGCCTCCCGCTTGGGAAGCGAGGCGCCCTCCCTGCGGAGCCAGGCCTGCTCCCCCCCAGCAGGGACGGACTCTGAGCAGCTTTGAGCAGCTCTGCCCACCCCGAAGATGTGACGGATTCCTTGTGAGGGATCCCTTGCGCTGGATTGCGTGCATTTCCAGAGGATGATCTGGGCGCCGGCTTGGCAGTGAGAAGTTCTGCATATAGATGGGAACCCCCAGCAGTGCGGCTCTCGGGAGATGCTATCGCTGTCCGGAGTAGCGGAGGAAAGAGTTGGCGCGACTCTTCCTCGCTTGGAGTCCTGCTTTCTGTGCCTGGCCAAGGCTGTGCACCTCCCGTTGTGAAAAACTCCCGCCATTTGGGGGAGTCTGTGGATCTCCCTCGAGGGCTTCCCTCCGTGCGCCATTTATCTTCCACGGAGGCTTCTCCTTCCATCTTCCCTGGGGGAGGAGGTCGCCTCCGCTCCACGTGGCCTTTCCTGCGCGTTGGATGCCTCTGCCCTCCTCTGTGTTCAATCAAACAATGCATAGTGGCCTTGTCATTGCAAAAACCACCCAGCCACACTGAAGAATCAGGAGCAGAACTGGAAATGGTACCAGACCTTTCCCATTCTTTAAAAGGAGCTGCAGAAATGGCCGGAAAACGCAGGAGGGGCCCTGAAGGACGGGACCCCCAGGCGAGGGACCCCCAGGCACAACTGGCGGGGCACCTCTGGTAGTGGAGCAGCTTCTGGTGAGGCCGCCTGTCCTCGACTCAGCTGTTTATTCGCCCAGCATTGCAGGTCATCGCTGTTTTCTCAGCTGACAGAAGGCCAAGGGGGCCGGCAGGAGAGCCACTCGGCCAGTCTGGGGGAATTTGCAGGGGTCAGGGCCCCTCTGCAAGACTGACACCAGAGGCCCCTTCACCTTTGCGGGTGACTTCCTCCTTGGGGGAGGATTCGGAGGAGAACTGCCAGCCTCAAACCGCACTCTGAAAACAAGATATGATGATAAAAAACCGGTTCAAGGAAGAGCGTTGCTACAGACCCGTAATCACGGGATTTGGACATCTCGCCCGGCAGCAGCTTGGGGTTGCGGATGCGATAACCCCAAGAACAGGCGAGGTTACCGGGCGACACTTGCCGTCCCAGAGGCGTAAAATAGGTGCATCTCTCCATCGCTGGGCCCCAGAGCGGCTCTTAGCGGCCCCGGGGTGTGCGTGGGTCCGTGGCAGGTCTGAGTGAGTGACCCCCAAGGGTACTGCAAGTCGATGTGGAGGGTCCGTTGAGGGTTCTGTCAGGCCTCCCCCTGATCCGAAGGCGCCTCCAACCGCCTCTCCATCCTTGCGCAGCCCTTGGCTGCTCTGGCGCGATTGTGTCCACAGCGCCAGCCACCTCTGGACGTCACTGCTCAGCCAACGGTAGCACCAGCCTCCTCAGCAAGGGCATCCTGCAGAGCCCCCCAAAATCCAGGGCCTTCCTCTTTCTCCAGGGCTGGACCATTTACACCCCGCCCCCGCCTGGCAGAGGGGAAAGGAGGCAGTCACTGGAAGCTGCAAAGACCTTCCTCCACCCCAGAAGGGTCATGTTTTGGCCTTCCCTCGCCACCGTTTCCATTCTGCTGCCCACAAATGAGGACCAAATCAGGAGAATGTTGTTCCCCAGGAGGCCCTGCAGCACCCAAATTCTCAGGCTCAGTGTGGATATTGGCGCCACCCAGAACTCAAGCCCGGGAGCGCTGAAGCCCAGACCTGAGACCAGGTCTGCCCGCTGTGGAGGGAAACGGTGGCGATGCTGCACGCAGGCCTTGGCGATTCCCCCTCCACCCCCAGGTGTCCAAATTGGGATGCATCTGGACAGGAAGGCCTGGCCTGGCATGGAGAGGCCCCTCCCTGTCCCGGAGAGCAGTGGCGTTGCTGCCCCTCCTGGTGCGTGGACCCCGCCAGCTCTGCCCTGCCCTCGCTCGGCTCGCCGAGTGTCTGGCCCCCGCTCTCCCGTCCCCTGCTCCTTGATAGAGCGGGGTTTTGGCAAACGCATTTGGACATGTGTGTGCCAGTCCGTGCTCGTAGAAATTTGCCCTGCCAGAATATGCAAAGTGCCTATTTTCAGGCTTCCACCTGGGAGGAAAATGTGCATTTTGGGGTGGGTTTTTTAAATTTTTCTTTTCATTGTGGAGAAAGTGTAAACTCAACAACAGCAGAAACCCAGTCCATAAATCTGCAGAATCCACACGACACAGAAAAGCCAGTCCATAGCATGAATTCTTAGACGTGCCCAGCTCTTCTGAGACACATTCTGATTCATCTGACATCGCTGGGTGTCCCAATCCGTGGATGGCCACGTTCATTTTGTAAATGTATTTGTGTGCATATTGGTACAAACTTGCACTCCCAAAATAGGCAAGAGCACCCAAGGTGGCTATTATCACGCGTCTGCTTAGGGGAAAGTGTGCATTTTGGGCGGGGGGTGTTCACGTTGCTTACATTTCTGTGGGCAATGTTACAAACAGCTCACCGGTCTGCAGAATCCGTGACTCAGGGAGAGGCAGGCCATGGTGGAATCCGCCACAGGATCCTTAGATGTGCCAGCAACTCTGGGTCACATGCAGGCTTCTCCTGCATGGCCAGCTGTCCCAAGGGCCACATCTGGGAAAAGGACCCTGCTCAGGGCTCAGGACCAAGCGCCAAGCCATCACGGAGGGCAGCAGTCGTGCCGTGATCGTTTGCCGACAGCCCCAGCAGAGTGGCGGGTGCACGGATGGGCCAGCCCTCCTTTATCCAGGTGGAGGGGAAGCCGGAGCACAGAGACGCGGGCTCTCTGCTCCCACGTCTCCCAGCTAGCTGTTGACCACCATGCCACATCCCCCACCCCCCTGCTGACGGTTGCTTCTGGAGTGGCACCCCGGCACCTCCTCCCCAAAGATTTCTTGTCCCAGGATCCTCTCAGCAAATGACCAGGTACTCGCCCTTGCAGGGAGACCGCCTTTCCGGAAGATGGCGCCAGCAGCCACAGCCCTGGGGTGGGGTTACATCACCCCGAACAACAGAACTGCCCCAGGAGCTAAGGGGCCAGTGGCCAGCGAGTGTGGCTCGCAAGGAGGCATCCCCACCAGCCCAAAGCACAGCTGCTTCCTCCCGCCCAGTTAGCGGAGGGCTGCTACCACCGCGGCAGGCGACTCCTCCAGGCAGCCCACCTGAGGGCCATCCCAGGCTGGCCTCAGGGACTCGGCGGCCTTTGCTCTGGCCAGCGCCGCTCTTTGGGGGCTGGAGCAGCCGGGCTTGGGCCTGATCCAGCAGGAAACTTCCTCCCACGGGGAAGGGCCACGGCTCAGTGGCTGGGCGACTGCTCGCCGGCCAAAATGCCCCACGTTGGCTAAACCACTGGGTCCCCCAGCAGGGCAGAAGCTCCTCGCCAGACCCCGGAGAGCTGCGGCCAGGGGCAGGCGCGGTTGCTGGGCCCAGGCGGACAGAGGAGGACGTTCCTCGGATGGATGGGGCAGCTTGTGGCACTCGGCTCTTATCTCCGCCAGGTGCGCAGCCCCGTGCGCAGGAGTCCTGCCCCCGCCCCGCCCACCCCGCCCCCGGGTCTCGCTGGCTTTCGTTCCTTTCCTTCACGGTCAGGTCGTGAAAACCGACCACCACCGCCACTGCCCTCGGCTGCATCAGTTCTCGCTGGGTTCATAGAACAGCCCGAGCGCGGCTGCTCGGAGACCGACCCCAAGGCCGCCTCGCCATGCAGACCGGCGGCCTCCCGCTCCTGCTGGAGCTCCTCGCTCTCGGGGCGCGGCTGGCGCCTGCCTCCGCGCGCACTCGCCCCGGTAAGCGACCCTCCCCGCCCGCTCCCCCGGGAGGCGCCCTCTCCCTTCAGCCCTGTGCAAAAGGCGGCTCTGGGAAGCGGCCGGCCAGCCAAGCCCCTTCTCCAGCCCTGCGCCTTCGACCTCCCGCAGCCCGAGGAAGGCCGCCGGGGGCGGCGGGTCTGCCCTGCAGCTTCCTCCCGGCGCGGTCGAGGCTCGTGGCCCCGGGCGTCGTAACCGCCTGCGCCGGCGCCCTCGGCAGGAAGAAACGTCCCCCCCTGGGCCCCCCCCCCCCGGGGAACCAAGAGCTGGGCCGTGCTTGGCTTGCGGGAAGCAGCGGGGGTGAAGCGGGCGGCGTCGTGCCGAGGGGTCCTCCCGGCCCCTGCCCCGGGCCTGGCTGGGGAGGGGTCTGCGACCGAGCAGGCGCACGGGACGGGACGGGACGGGACGCGGGGCGCTTCGAGGCACCACTGACGATCCGCCGCTAAACTCGCCCCTCGGCGGGTGTGCCGGCCGGGCGCACTGCCTCTCGGCCCCGGGGCTTGGGACCCGGCCGCGGCGGGGGGCTGCACGCGCAAACACGTTAGCGCATCCTGGGGGGGGTCTCTCCTGCGCGCAATCCTTCTCCCCCGCTGCACGGACGCTCACGCAAGAAGAGACGCGTTCGCCCGGGAGGCGCTGCGAGGCCTCGGGCGGCGCCGCCACGGCTGCCCGGGAGCCCCCACCCTCGGCCGGCCCCGCGCCCTCGCCAGCCCGCTTCCCGCTCGCTCCGAGAAAGGCGGTGGGCGCTGCTGCCCCCGTATGGCGGGGGCTCCCCAGGCCAGGGCGGCTCAGGTCCCTCCCGCATGACCGCCCGCTCTTCCCACAGACTTCTGCCTCCTGCCTCCAGAGCCTGGGCGATGTGAGGCGTACATTCCCCGCTATTACTACCAGCCGGCAACCAAACGGTGCAAGCAGTTCATTTATGGAGGCTGCAACGGGAACAGAAACAATTTCACCACCTTAAGAAAATGTCAAGACACCTGTGCAGGTAAGCGGGAAGGAGCAAAAACCATGGAAGAGCAGCACAGGGAGGGGTCTCTCGGGCCACGGAGCCCCACCCTCGTGCTGTGCAGGCCCCCACGTCAGAGAGAAGCCGCAGGAAATGGCTTCCCACCCACTGCCGCCCCGAGCAGGCAGCCACGGGGCCCTGGTGCCCCCCTCCAGGCCAGCCCTGAGGCTGGACCAGGAGCCCTGCCGGGTCGCTCTCTGGGCATCGGGACGTTGGTGCTGCCCTGGAAGCTGCATGGAAGCGTCTCCTGGGGAGGTGCAGCGTGTGCTCGCCCGCCCGTGTGGCGAGCGCCATGCAGGATGCGGAGGAAGCGGCGACTTGGCGCCCCGGTTGGCTGGAAGGCCCTCTTGCTAGCTAGTCATGATGCCTGCGTGTGCCCTCCAGCAAGCCGCCTGCCCCATCCGGACGGCACCCGTCCCAGAGTTATCAAGGGGCCCAAGCCTTCCTCTTCTTTGCTTCCTCTCTGGCCGCGTCGGGTCTTGAAGGAGCTGCGAGCTTCTGGTTCTTGTGCTCCGGGTGGTATCTCAAATCCCAAGCCCATGTGGATCCACGTCCTGAGAGGCGGTAGCAGAACCTCGCGCCTGGGGCTGCGTGGATCGGGCGGAGCATGGTGTGGCCCTGCGCAAAGGGACCGCGATGGCAGCCGTGAAGGTCGCCCCGGTCACCCTGAAATGACCTGGCAAAGGGGGTTCTGGTGACGTTCTGGTGACAGGCCCAGCAAGCCAGCGGTGGGTCGCATGTTGCTACAGAAATCCAGACGAGATAGAAAACGTTTAACATGCCCCCCAAGTCAGCCCCTGTACCAGAGGATTGGAAATGGCCAGTGGATTTGTTACAAAGGGATCCGGGGAATTCGGGAAATCACAGGCCAGCTAGCCTAACACCCGCTCCAGGTTACCTGCTTGAAAGCTCTACACAAGTTAGAATCCGTAAGCACACAGAGGGACAAGACCTGCTGCAAAAGAGCCAGCATGGCCTCCACAAGGGGGGAGTCCAGTCTCTCTTGGGGGGCTTTGGGGAGGTCAAGCAGCCTGCAGAGGGGGGTGATCTAGTAGACGTTGTTTATCAGGGCTCCCAAACGCCTTTGCCAAAGACCCTCTGCAAAGGCTCCTGAGCAACTCAGCAGTCATGGAATGAAGCGGCAGGTGGGGGGGGCTCTTAGGATAAGCAACTGGTTAAGTAAGTGGCAATGTCTCCCAAACGGGGTGTATCGCCAGCGGAGTCCCACGTGGTTCTGCAAGAGGATCGAGGCCTGTTAACCTCTTCATAAATGACCTGGAATTAGGAGTGACAGCAAACTTTTCAGGGTGGCTAAACCGAAAGGGATCGTGAGGCGCTCCAAAGGGACCCCTCCAAGCTCGGAGAAGGGGCATCCCAAGCTGCATGGGAAATGCAGCCCAGTGTAAGCAAGAGCAGAGGGCTGCATTTGGGGGCAACACATCCCAACTTCACGCTTTGCTGATGGGCTCTGAGCTGGGACCGACCGCTCCAGAGGGGGCCTCGGCGTGGTGGTGGGCAGCTTGACGGAGATCCTGACCCAGCGCACAGCTGCTGCGCGGAAGGCGAACTCCTCTCCAGGCTTAAATAGGAGCAGAACAGAACAGAGCACTGCCAAGCTTGTACTCTCCTGATAAAAAATGGGGGGGGGGGGCGCTGGAGAAGCTCCCTCCTGTGGAATGGCCACGAAAACTGAGAAAGTTTAGTGTAGAAAAAGGGCGAGTAGGGGGAGAAAGGTCTGCGGTGTTCATAATAATGCAAAGTGTGTGGAGAAAGCGGAGGGGGAGACATTTCCGTCCCTTTCCCAAAATACTTGAACCCAGGGTCCTCCCACGAAGCGGGTGGGTGGGTGGGAGGTGAAGACCAATCAAAGGAGGTCCTTCTGCGCACAGCCGAAAGTCAAACTGAGCAGTTTGCTGCTGTGGAAAAGCAGGGGAGGCCGCCAACCGGGTGGCCTTCAAAGGGGACTGGACAGATTCACGAGGGAGGAGGCTGGCCGTGTGCCCCCCCCCCTCGCCAGAGGGGGCCTGCCTGCCTGCCTGCACCAGTGGCTGAGGAGCTGGGCGGGCGGAGTTCTTGCGCTCATCCTGCTGGGAGGATCCTGGGGCAGCCGGTCTGCCACTGCACGTGCGGAGTGCAGGACTGGACGGGCCGAGCCGACCCGAGTGGCCCCGGCCACAGGGAGCAGCAGGAGCCCAGGCAAAGACCAGCAGGCTCCCTGGATGCGCTGCGGGGGTCCTGGCCCCCAGCCTCATTTCCAGACCACTCTCCTCACCCTCGCCTCTCTTTTCCCTGCAGCAGGAGCGAAGACGGGCGGCCCACCCTGAGCGCTGTGGGCGCTCCGGGCAGCAACTGGGCCAGCGGCTTCCCTCTCCGGCCCTGCGGAGACCCCCCCCCAGCTGGCGGCCCCTTCCCAATAAAGGCTTCTGCTCACCATGTCCCATGGAGTGCCGTTCCTGAGCATCCTTTCCCGTCCCTTTGCAGCCGCCCTGTGCTGGGGGTGGGTCACTGGCCCTGCATGCGGAGGGGCAGGCTGGCCCCCCACCAGTTCGGTGCCCTGTGCAGGGTGGCCTTTGCACCCCACAAGCATCCCCCTGGAGCTGCCGCCTCCCCCACGGCACCTCCCTCACCCCCCTTGGGCATCCCTGCTGGCTGCCTCCAGCCCTACTGCCTCCTCTCCCCCACACTCTCTCCGGCCTCTGGCCACCCCCCCCCCACAGCTCACCTGCTGTGAAGGGTCCTCCTTGGCCAGGCCTCCTGGGGTGGGGGGGCGCCCAACCCCCTTTCTCTCAGTCTCTTGTACAGGAGGGGCTGTGTGGTCCTGGGCACAGCGCAGCTTGTGAAGAGGGCCCTCCAGCTGGGCTGACTCCTGCCGTGAAGGGCACCAGTGCTGGGGGGTCCCGTGTCTGGATGGCAGGGAGACTCCTCTTCTGGACGGCAGCTCGCTCTCGGAGGGTTCCCCGAGCACCCTCTGCCAGCATCAGGGAAGCAGGCCTAGGGACTCCAGGGGCCGGGGGGCACGGGCGGGCACGGGGCTCCCCCGCTGAGCCAGCCAGCCACCAACGGAGCTCGCCTCCAGCCTGAGGCAGCCTCGCGGTTCCTGCACGAGCTCCCCCTGGGTGGCGCTCTAGGTGGGGGGTGCGCACACCAGCCCCAGAGAGCTGCCTCAGCGGGGGAGCCCTTGCCACCCACGCCGGAGTCCCCGGAGACCCAGGAGGGCCTGGCGGGACGGCAGGCAGCATCGTCCTCATCCCGCAGAGCACAGCCAGGCCCGGGAGGGTGGGGAGCGGCTTCAGGTGGAGCCTGGCCCCAGCAGCGCCAGTGAGGGCTGCCTCTGCCCCACCAGGGACGTGAACCGGAGACCTGCGGCAGGGCGGGCACATGCTTGCCCAGGGAGCTGTGCCTCCCCCAAGCCCGGGGCGAAATGGTGGCTGGACTGTGGGCATGGAAGCGGCTGGGGAGGGCAGAGGGGGAGGGCAGAGGAGACGGAAGCAGGGGGCCACTCCGTCCGAGGGCCAGGAGCCCCCCGGCTCCCTCGCAGGCGGCTCTAGAGCTCGGCCCCGCCTGGTCGGCCCGCTCTGTGTCCAAGCAGCTCTGGTGCGACGGAGCGAATGAGGAAGGGGCGGCCTTGGTGCCGAGTGGCAGTCCTCCTCTGGGGAAGGGACACGCCGTGAGTTCCCCCGCACCTGTCCTGAGGCTGCCGACAGCCGTCCCTCTTTCTGCCCTCCTGGGACAGCAGCGGGAACTGGGCAAGGCAGCGGGATCCTTGCCGGACCCCCTCTGGGCACCCCCAAGTCCAGAGCTCAAACGTGTCCTGGGGGTCCCGAGCCTGAAGCACGCGCAGCCCTTCGGTTGCTGGATGCCTCTGAAGACGCCGACTGCCTGGGGTGGCCTTCGGTGCTCTGGGGGCGCTTGCTGGATACCAGGGAGACGGTCGCTCTTCCCCGTGAGACATTGAGGGCGAATGCGACCAAACGGGGCATCCTCCCCCCGATATTGCCAGGCAGCGTCGCTATGTGGGGTGCGGTCTCCATCAACCCCCTTTCTGCACACACAACTGAGCCCTTGGCCCAGATCCATCAGCTGATGCGCATGATCCAGAGGCACTGACTGGGGGGGGGGGGGGCCCAGCAGCGTCCCCCCCACATGGGGCAGCTCTGAGCACCGGACCTTCAGGCAAGGGACTGGCAGCTGGGGAACTGGGTGCTGCCTGGCAGTGCCATCGCATCCAGGGGCTGGCGCTTCCCGCGCCCCACACGCCGCCCGCGTGGCCCTCCCCGCCACCCTTCCCTCTGGGAGCTGCACAGGCCCCCCCGGCCCAGGTAGGGCCACGGGGGGAAGAGGAGTGGGAGGATCCGATCACTTCCGGAGCAGCGACGCCAACCCGCTCCCCCTGCGGTGCGGGGGCCAATTCCACAGAGGCCGGGGGCCGGAGGCAGGGCTCGCCTGGGCATCCGGGCTTGTCTCCCCGCGGCCTGGAGCTCGCCTGGCCAGCTGCGGACTCGGGCTGGCTCCCCTCAGGGGTGGTTGCTGGGCAGACAAAATGGAGGGGGGGGCGCAGGGGCTCTGCACGAGGGGGAAAGGTGGGGCACGGATGGAATCAGAGTGCCAGTATGTGGGGGCAGGATGGGTCGTCGTTCCAGCCTGGCAGCCGCAGAGGGAACATCCCAACGCCGGAGCCAGACCTACCCCAGTCTTTTACGGCCATCAGGTATTGCCAGGTCTCCTCCCCGGTCCCTGTCGGATTGTCCCTGGCCCCTTTCCCCCAGAAACGAGGCCACCAGCTCCGTCGCCATGGCCACTTCCTCTCCCTCCTCTGCCCAGGGAGGCGACTGCCCTCCTGGGTGTCGCCTGCACTGCTCCTGCCTTCCTCCAGGGGGAGCCAGAGGGTTCCCGAAGCGCCACCGGGTGAGCGCTTGAAGAGCTGTGCGGCTGTCCACCCCTCCTCAACTCGCTTGCCTTCCAGTAACCCATCCCAGGAGACCTTCCCCAGTCTGGCCTTCAGTTGGCCAAAGTTGGCCCTCTGGAAGTCCCAGCTTCTAGTGCTCGACCTGCTGCCCGTCCCCAGTCCCCTGATCTCAAAGCAAAGGATGGAGCGATCACTCTCATCCAGAGCTCCCCTAATCTGTACCTCATCTATCAGCTTCTCTCTATTGGTCAAGACCAAGTCAAGGATGTTTCCCCGCTCGTCGCCTCTCGGACCCTCTGTGTGAAAAACGCTCCCTCTATAGCTTCTAGGAAGCGACGTGACCTGGCTGTCACCGCCGAGTGAGTCTCCCAAGTAATATCCAGGAGATTGAAATCTCCCATAATTACTGTGTCTCTCCCCCAAGATATCCTTAGAATCTGGCCTGTCAGGACATCATCCAGGGTCTCAAAGTGACCTGGAGGGCGATAACATACCCCCACTGTCAGGTCCCTTTCCCTGTCAAAACCCCTAAGTTCCACCCAGACTGCCTTTAGCTTTGCTCTTTCGCAACCCTCCTGTCCCTCTGTCTCCTCGTGATGCAACAGGTCTGAGCTTCTACCGCGCGCCCCTCTGGTGATGAAATGTGAGGGCGGGGCGGGGGGGGCAAGGCTGAAAATGAGGCTCCTCCGCGCGCCGCCCACCCCCGTGGGCAAACCAGGCAATATGCAGAAGCTGAAATGCTCGGAAGTTTTATTAAGAGTTCAAACAGGAAAGCTGCGGATCCTTTTCAAGGGGCGAAAAATGAAAAATTTCCATATAAGAAATAGCATTATCCGTTTTATTTATTTATTTTATTTGAATCTTTCCTGTACCGTCCCTTCACAGAAGTCTCGGGACGGTTTACACCATTATAGCCGAGTAGCTCCAGGCGTAACAACAGGCTGGAGCAACAGAGAAAAATACATGCAGAAAAGTTACCCAGAAAGGAAATTGCAGCGGGAATGCTTGCTAAGCCCGTCAGACCGCGCGGCGGGGCCACAGTTGCCTGCCGAGGTTGCAACACGCCAACCGTGGGGCGGAAGCTCGCCCGCCCGCCCGCCGGCCGGGCAGCGAGAGGCCGCGGAAGCCGGTGAGGAAACGGAGCCCCAAGGCAACGCGGGCAGCCCCCCTCGAGGCCGGGCTGGGGAAGGGGAAGGCGCGGGGGACGCGGCAGCCTTTGCAGAGGCCCCGCACACGGAGGAGCGGCGGGCCGGCCCCGCGGGCCACTCGGAAAGGCCCGGGAAGGGAAGCATCGCTGCCGGTGGGGCGGAAGGAGGGGTTTCCCGGCTGTGGGGCATGGCGCTCGGGGCTTCCGCGGGGGGCGGAAAGGAGGAGCGGCTGGGGGCGCGGGTCTACCAAAGCTGTCCTGCTGCAGAACCGGGCCAGACGGGGAGCAGCTGGGCCCGGGCGGGCGTCCCCCGGCGGCCCGAGGACGGACGGGGCCGTGGCCGAAGCGCGCAGCCCTTGCTCTGCGCCGCCTCTTGCTCGCGCGCGCGCCGGGTCTGCGCCAGGACGCGCGCGCCTCCGGGGCGAGATCCTCGGCCGGGCCCTGGGGCAGCTGCCCGGAGGAGGCGGACCGGCCGGCCCGCCTGCAGGACGACGCCGCGCCGGCCCGGAGCCGCATCGCTGCGTGAAGCTTGCGCGCCCCGCACCTGTGCCCTGGCGCCGGAAAGGCACTTGTCCTCCAGTCCCAGGAAGCGGGGAAGAGGCTTGTATGTTCCTCTGAACATACGCGGCCAGCGCTTTCTTCCGTTCTTGCTGCTCCAAAATCGGCCCTCGGCCTCTTGGTCAGCACCCGAGTGATGCTGCGTGTGCTGGGCTTCTGCTGGGGGGAGGCAGAGGCTGAACGCGCACAAGTGGCCCAGCACCCCCCCCCACGCCGAAGCATCTGCAGCTTTGCTCATCCGCCCAGCAGCGGCCGGGTAGAGTTCGGTGCCTGGCCCCGGGACACAAGGCGGGCAGGGTCCTCGCCGACTCTGGGGGCTTTCAGACAGCCCGGTGCTTGTCCTGGTGGCTCTGCTGGGGCCCTGAGCACCCCATGAAGGTGTCAGAATCCGTGCCAGCCTGCAGGCAGCTCTCAGTGGGCCAGGCCTCCGTAAGGCCCAGACTTGCTCAGCTAGGATGCTCGAGCAGCAAAGCCGGAGAGAGAGCGCAGCCATGGACCCGGGGACTGTGGAGCGGCCTGTCCCGTTCCCCCCCCCGCCCCCCAGCCCAGATGGGCCTTTGAACACTGCCCCCTGCTCCCTCTCTTCCAGCCTCTGCCAAGGAAGGAGCAGCCCCTGAGAAGACCGGGGAAAGCCTGCTTCTGGAACTGCTGGGAGCCATGTCTGCCGGGGCGCTGCCAGCTGCAGTCTCCAGCTTCTCGGGGGAGTTCAAGGCAGGGGCGGCCCTGCAGGTCGGCCGGGACATCACCATCCTCCTGGTGCTGAGGAACCTGGCTCCCGCAGCCAGGAGCCTGACTGCCAGGGTGACTGTTTGGACCATCCTCTACACGGGGAAGACGATGCATAGGCTCTTGAAGGACGCCCTCCCGGTGACCCTGGGTCCCGGTGAAGGTCAGTGCAGGTCTGGGGCGGCCTCCCCGTGAGCAGGCAGAGGGAGGACGGGCCATGGCATCTGGGTGGGCCGTGGCGGTGCTTGCCCGGCCCTGGCTTCAGCCAGGGAGGAGGGTGTTCCCAGCGCCGGGCACAGCAGCCCAGAAGCACCCAGGAAAGGAGGCGCCTCAGGGGACTCTGGGAGTGGAGTTCAGTTGCGTGGTGTGCAGGCGGCAGCAGCTTCGCCATGTGGCGGAGGCTGGCACTCCCCGACCGGTGCGCTGCGCATCACACTCCTTGGAAAACAGATCAGGACAGCCGGAGCCTCCGCTGCCCACGGGGGATCTGGCCGAACTCGGGTGGAGTGAGGGCAGCTTGGCCCCTCCCCGCAATCTCCTTATGCACCTCCTGCCCCCACGTCCCCTCGGCCAGATGGCGAGGAGAAGCCGTGGCACCTGGGGTGGGGGGCAGATGCAGCAAGCGCGGCTTTTGCGTTAAATCCACATAAATCTTCCTTCCCCCCAGTCCTCCACCAGAACCCCCAAATCTTTCCCGTCCTTAAAACTAACCCACCCACCCAGCCTCCACTTCAGAACACGCACCTCCAGAGCAAAGTGGCGATTCCTTCTCGGGCGTGACCCACCCAGAGCCCCCCCATCAATGGCGGGACTGGCGAGATGAGCCTTCCTTCCCCGACATCCGAGCCGGCAGGGGAAGCAGAAGCTGTCCTCCTGCGGACCCCGGGCAGGGCCTGGCAGCCCCACTCGGCCCTGGCCTGCCCGGGGGGGATTCGCGCGGGGCACGGCCATAGGAACAGAGAAGCAGAGCGAGTCGGAAGGGGCCTCCCGGGTCATCCAGGTTGACTCCCAGCTCCAGCCGGCTCCGCTCGTGACATGCCCACCATGCACACGTCCAGGACATGCATGTGAGGATCACACCCCCCGGGCCACCCTCCTCCTGCCTCAGGGAGCCCAGGCTCCATTTAGGTGCCAGGAAGCGCTTCCTGACAGTCAGGACCCCGAGGGGGTGGAAGGGGCTTCCACGGGGGGTCCTTGAGGCCCCACCAGTGCGGGTGGTCAAAGGCTGGACATGCACATGGCGGGCATGTTGTGAGTAGAGCCGGCTGGAGCCGGGGGTCAGACTAGATGGCCCGGGAGACCCCCTCTGACTCGCTCTGTGTCTATGTTTCTTTCAGAGAAGAGGATTCCGATTACGATCCCATATGCTGAATACAAGCAGCACCTGACTTCCGACAACATGATCCAAGCGACTGCCCTCTGCCGTGGAGCAGCAGGCCGCCTCACAGTGGTGAAGGGGGTCTTCGCCCTGGGCAGCCCCCCCATCCTCATAAAGGTGGGCATCCTTGCTGGCCGCTCCCCTGCCCAGACCTGCTCCCCTCCGCACGTGGGCCCGGGGCCTGGGAAGGGCCCCTCCCGGGAGTTCATGCCACCACTGCCACCCAGGTGGTCACTGCCGAGCAGAACCGTGCGTGTGAACCCCGGGTGCGGGGAGACCCGGCAGTCGGTGAGAGCGGCATTTCCAGGGGAGGAGTCCCCGGGGGGGCAGGGCGGGGGGTTAGCAGCGCCTGGCCTGGCCCGGCCCGGCCCGGCCCGGCCTGCCTCCCGGGCCGGGGAGCCTCGGCGGGGGCTTGGGGCCGCCCTGCTCACCCGTGCTTCTGCCCGGCAGGTGCTGGGCCAGGCGAAGGTGGGCGAGGTGGCCAGAGTGGAGGTGACGCTCACCAACCCGCTGGACGAGGACCTGCAGGACTGCAAGCTGCGGGCGGAAGGCAGCGATTTGACGGTGGACACGGTCGAGATCGCGTAAGGACCGGGACCCCCAAGTGGGCAGGCAGCCCCCATGGGCGGCGGGGGAGGGCCCCGTGAGCCTGGGGTGGCTCTGCATTGCTTGGTCGAAGCCCAAGGGCTGTGCTCCGCCGGGGCAGGCAGAGTGGGGCTTGGGGAGCATGCCCCCCGCCGACTTCCCACGGTCGTCACTGGGCACGGGCGTTACACCTGATGGAGCTTCCCGTCCGGCAGTCCAGGGCACGGGCGTGGGCATGGCTGGAGGCAGGGGCGGTTCTGCCATCCCCAGCATCCCCAGCCAGCACTGCTGCCGACGGGGCATGTTGGCTGGCCGAGGCGAGGCGAGGCGAGGCGTGGGGGTGTGGAGGCCGGCCGTGCCGTGGCGCGAGTGGGGCGCGCATGCCACGCCGGCACGGACCGGGGCCTGTCGGGGGTGGCGCCAGCCTTCCCGTGCCGGCTCTGCTGCGGTGGAGCCCGGGTGGCGAGGGGCCCGGCCGCAGGGCGGCTGCGCCTTTCCGGGCTGGGCCGCCTTGGACTTTGCGAGCCGAACCCTCAGCCCCAGGGCAGGCCAGCCCCTCCGGCCCCGCCGTGCTGCCGCCGCCGCCTCCCTCGCAGGTTCAGCCTGCGATCGATGCGACTGCCAGCCTGGACTGCTGACCTCCGTGCCCCCATGTCGAGAAGCAGGGCTCTAGACCCTCAGGGCAGCAGTCGGAGTTGGGGGCCGCCCCTGCAGACTGTGGCCTCCCGCCTGGAGGACGTCACGCGTGGGGACGGACACACTCCTGCGCAGCCGCAGCCCTTCCTCGGCGGGGGGAGTGGCGGGAGGGGGCGAAGGGCCCACAGGCGCCTTCGTGGACGTGCCCAAAGCAGGCGGCGCCTCCCTCGCCTCGTTGGTGCACCCGCCGCTCACCAGCCGCTGGGGCCCCCGAGCAGCCGCCCTGTGGAAGCTCTTCCAGCTCCCGGCGGGTCGAGCAGGTGCTTCCTCCCCCCGCAGGCTGCCGCCAGTGAAGGCCCGGGCCTGCTCCCACGTCCACCTGGACATCGTTCCCAGAAGAAGTGGGACCAAGCACCTGGTCGTCAGTTTCTCCAGTGACAAACTGCAGCACATCAATGCCTTTGAGGCCATTACGGTGGACGAGTGACCGGCACTTGGGCTGTGGCCGCCCAGGTGATGTCTCCCCCAAGGACAGCGCTCCCTGTCCCAGCTGCTGCCGCCGCCCTGAAAGCTTCGGCTGCTGTGAGGCACAGAGGTCAAATAAACAGGAAAATGCATCGGCCCAGGGCTGCACTCGGGCTGTGGGAGGACTCAGCGGGCGAGGGCTGCCACGGGGACCCCCATCCGCACGGGCACGGGCAGGGCTGCGATGTGGCCCCCCCTCCGGGGCCTGGCCGGCGGCTTGGCCGAGGGCGACGGGGCCTGTGGGGGGGGGACGAGCCCCCTGCGTGCAGCAGGGCTGGGGGTCTGCCACGGAAGACCCTCCTGTTGCACTGCAGGGACTGGCAAGGAGCGGGTTGGCGTTGCCCACGGCGTTCCGTTTTCATTACGGGGCCTGGGATCTGCATTCCCGTTTCCTACCCCTGGTTGGGTTCGTTCTGCAGGCACCTCCCGCGCCCTCCACGGGCCGAGGGGCTGCCCGCCCACCGCGTGCTTCCTCTCCACGGGGGGCCAGGGGTTTGCACGCTGTTTTTCTCCATGCTGTTGCCGCCACCACGGCTTCTGCCCAATGTGCATTTTTTGGTGGTCCAGGACCTGTTACCCAAGTAACAGGAAGCAAAACACCCGCCAGCCCACAAGGTGAAGAGGCCAGTTGTGGTTGCTCCGTGTGGGGTGGGAAATGGAGCAGTGGGGAGCCCATCTGGAAGGCAAGCAATCAGCAGCATGAGGTGAGGGACAGGTGCTCCTGAGCGGAGTAAGAGCGCCGCTGCTGCAAACCAGGCACGTCCCAGAGCAGGGAGGGCCAGCCTTTGAGAGACCGAGCGCCCAGACTGCAACCCAAAACCCACGAATTTATTGCAAAGTGCCAGCACGGCAATAAAACCTGAACACTGAGGTTTTAGCTTAGAAAAAACACCTCACAGCCAGTCCAAGCAAATATATAAATATATATCCTTGGCAGCGCACTGACCAGCCATGCGAAACCTCGGATGAGTTGCGGCTCATGTGGCCTGGCACCACTATCCCTTTCCGCGCATGTGCATGGCCCCTTTTGGCGCTGTTATTCGATGCTCGGCTGCCGGGGCGACTTGGCTCGCGTGCCGACAGAGAGGGCTCTGCGTGCCCGCTGTGGGATGCGTGCCATGGGCTCGCCACCACTGGCCCAGAGCCATCTCTTGTAAGTGCAGGAAGCTGCAGGAAAAGTCTAGCAGCCTTGTTCCTGAAAGGCTGCATCCCTTGTTCCAGCGGCCCCTCGCCCTGCGCGTTCTGAGCAGGGTCGGGAGTGCCACACCCCTCTGGCCCGCCACGGCCTCCTGACCGCTGATATTCCCACATGGCGGAGAGTAGCACCTCGCTGACCCCCGAAGGCGCCCCCACGCGGCAGTCCCCAGCTGTGCAGGCGGGCACCTCGGCCCGCTCTTTGGTCCCCTGGGGGCCTGCCGGGCCACCTGGCAGCCGCTGCGAGGGCTCGTGGGGGGTGTGGGGCCTGCCCGAGGCTTCCCCAGGCCGCTGCCCGGGGGGAAGGGGCATCAGCTGCAGCCCATGGGGGCCTGGGCAGGGCTGGGGTGCAGCCGGCCGGAATCCACCCTCTAGCACTCGCGGGCTTCTTGCGGTGCCCGGCTTGGCCCTGCGGGGTGAGCCGGGGGGAGAGTTCTGTTCGTCGCCACACGCGGAGCGAAGGTGTTGTGACTCCCACAGCACAGAGAGCCAGTGATGCGGGTGGCGTGGGAAAGAGCGCCGCTTGCGCAGTGCCTGGGGTGCAATTCCTGGTGTGCGCCTTCTGCTTGTTGAGCACACGCCCCTGGAACGGTGACGGAAGGGACCAGGATCCAGGGAGCTGGGTCTGAGGGGGGTGTTTGACCATGGGCCCAGATGGCCCACCCTCCCTGAGGGAAACCCTGGCATGGCTCCCACGGTCCTCCTGCCCTTTAGCCCAAATCTGCCCCTTGCCATTGGTTCTGATCCTGCCCCCGGAGCAGCTGAAAGCACCTCTGAGCCCCCTGAGCCAGGCCAGCCTTTCCGGTATCGGAGAATCGCCTCTTCTCCAGACTTGCTCAGCTCTTTCAACCATTTCTCAAGCATTTCCAGCCCGCTAACCATCCCAGTGCTGCTTCTCTGCACATGCCCCGTCTCATCACCATCCCTTGTAAAACGGGGCCATTCATATTCATAGAATCACAGAATAGAAGAGTTGGAAGGGGCCAGGAAGGCCATCGGGTCAACCTCCTGCTGTTGCAGGACGCCACGTTACACCATCCCACTCAGGTGGCTGTCCAGTTTCTTGAATGTTGCTAATGTGGGAGAGCCCCCCACCTCTCCGGGCAGCTGGTCCCACTGTCGAATCGCTCTGACAGTGAGGAAGCCTTTCCTGATGTCCAGCCTCAATCTGGGTTGTTGCAACTTAAGTTAACTATTCCGTGTCCTGCACTCTGGCATCAGCAAGAAGAAATCTTGACCTTCCCCTTTGTGATAGCCTTTGAGGGACTTAGAGGGATATCATGCCCCCCCCCCCAGCCTTCTCAAGGCTGATTATGCCAGTTCCCTCAGTCCTCTGCAAACCGGCCACCAACCTTGTGGCCCTACGCTGCACTGACTCCAACCTGGCTATATCCTTCCTGTAATGAGGGGCTCAAAACTGAGCACAATACTCCAGTTGCGGGCGCACCAGAGTCGCATAGAGTGGTAGCAATACCTCTCTTGATCTAGAAGCCACACTTCTGGCTATGCAACCAAGGGTAGCGTTCGCCCTCTTGGCCACCGCATCGCACTGCTGGCTCACGTTCAGCCTGCAGTCAACCTGCACCCCGAGGTCCCTTTCACAAGTGCTGCTCTCCAGCCCCTTGTCACCTAACTTGCACTCATGACACCCATTCCTATGCCCCAAGTGCAAGACCTTGCACTTCTCCACATTGAACGCCATCCTCTTGTCTCCTGCCCACTTCCATAGTCTGTCCAGATCCTTTTGGATCCGGAGTACCTGCTCCTCAGTTGTGGCCACTGCTCCAGTTTTAGTGTCGTCTGCAAATTTGATCAGCAGACTGTTCACCCCTTTTTCCATGTAATTGATGAAAAGATTAAATAGGATCGGCCCCAGGACAGAGCCCTGGGGGACCCCGCTTGTCACTGGCCGCCATCCCGCTGATTCCCCACTAATGGTTACCCTCTGCTTTCGGTCAGTCAACCATGCCCTAATCCACCGGACAGTGCTTTGGTGTATCCCAAAACTCCTCCGTTTCTCCACCAGGATATCATGGGGCACTTTGTCAAAGGCCTTGCTGAAATCCAGGTATACCACATCCACTGCATCCCCGCCATCTAGCCATCGCGAAACCTTGTCATAGAATCCCACAAGGTTTGTCTGGCAGGACCTGTTTTTGCGGAAGCCGTGTTGTGTGGCCGCCAGCCTCCCTTCCCTATCCAGCATCGCTAGATCTCTCTCTATTATGGGCCTTTCCATGGTCTTTCCCAGAATGGGCATCAGGCTAACCGGCCTGTGATTCCCTGTGTGCCCTCTAGCACGGCATCACAGAAACAGCTGCTTACTCAACAGAATGCGGCAACCCATCCAATGGCGTGAGAGGCCCCTGTGAACGCACAGCTCCTCTGCCAGGTCTGCCTGACAGAGACAACGTGTTCCACACGCACCGTGAGATCTCTATCGGTTGCACATCACATCCTGATGCCTCGACGGTGCCACCCACAGCACAATGCGAACTCCAGAACAATGGGGGCTTCAGGGCCCTGGCGAACCATGGAGGGAAATCTTGCAGGCACGGAATCCTGGGTGGCCAGCGCTGTGCGCTCTCTTCCGCACCCGTTGGTAGCTTGGGTGCAATTCAGCGTAGCAAACTGGCGGTTGGAGCTGTTTCTTAGCAGGCTGCCAGGCAGCTCGCTCCCACTCCTGTCCCATGGCTGGAACACTGCTTGGGATGAAGACAACATTTCGGCAGCGGGCAGACCAGTTCTCATTCTCTGGGTTTCCATCCATCCCATGTTGTGAATTGTGGATGTCTCAAACGATTGCCTTCAACTGTTTCAGAGTGAAAGGGCCTTGTTGAGGTGGCCCCTGCAGAGCTTTTCATGGGCATTAGCAGCTGCTCTGTTTCCCTGTCCATTTCTCTGCCAGCACTGTTTCCAGGGGGGCTGCTTAGGCCACAGAATCATCGAGTCAAGAGCTGGAGGGGGCCATGAGGGCCACCGGGTCCACCCGCCACCTCTTGCAGGACACCAGGTCACACCCTCCCCTGCCCAGTCTCTCCTTGCATGTCTCTCGAGGGCGAGAGCCCACCACCCCTCCGGGCAGCTCCTCCAGCACTCTGTTCACCCAAGCCAATCCGAGGAGGAGATGTGAGCTTCGTGTCGTCCGAAAGCCAATTCAGAGTGGGGCCACCTGGAACTATTACAGAATACAGGGCAGCGGGTGTATGCGATTTCCCTGACCATCCACCCGGGGGCACCGTATTTTTGCAGTGGCAAATGTCGTGCCAACTTCTCGTGCCAGAGCAAGGCTGTGTCTGGATAGTCTGCCGGAGAGAAAGTGGGAGGCAGGCCACCAATTGGCAGGGGAGAGGGTCTAAGGGAGCATCCATTTTTTTCACCGTGATGGCAAGAAAAGAGAAACGGGCAGGCAGGGCCGTCCCCGTGGCCGAGCGTTTGCTTCTCTGCGGGGGCCTGATGCTGCATTGCGCACCACCAGGGCGACGACGGCCACTTGGAGTTGCTGAGTGACCTCTGCGTTCTGGTGAGCAGCGGCAGGGTGTGCGTGCAGACGAGTGTGCCTCTTCCCCACGGGTGGTGCAGCGAAGGAGCTGGCACTGTGTGGAGACTCTCCCGACGCGCACGAGCAGGTTGGAGATGGCGCCCAGCGAGACGAGTCGCAGGCCAGCGACTTTGCGGGAAAGGTGATATGCGCACAGGTGAGGGCCTGGGCACACTGGGCGCCCTTGAGCACCACTTGCCCAGCAGCTTCGTGGGCGAGGCCTTGGAGGGAGAGGGGGAAAACGGTCTCCCCCTCCATTTCCTACACAAAATGCATTTTCTGTGCTCCTCTGTTATGTCTTCCCACTTCTGCCCCTCTCGGAAGCTGACGCAGTCCCCGCGGTCGGAGCCACGGCTCAGGGG